TAAACCTTTATAGGACTCACTGTGAAATACTTAGAAATTCAAAATTTTAAGCTTTAAGGAGCATTTTTTTGGAGGACAGCACCGGATATTATTACTCTTGTAAAATAAAATAAAATTTTTTTTTTTGTGTGTGTGTGTGTGTGTGTGTGTGGGGGGGGGGTTGTTATCAGATTAGAGAGTATTAATAGAAATACACGCTACTCTCTTTAAAGTTTTTATTGTTAAAAACATTTAAAAGCCAGCATGCTGCTTTGTGACCAAATTAAATCCCGGTTTGGTACTTTGACGTTTGTGCTTATAAAGTGACAAAATGTGAAAAAGTTCCAGGGCTATGATCACTTTTGGAAGGCAATGCAGGTTCAGTCCCATGGAGTCCCATAATTTTGATTTAGAAATGTACTATTTTATGTGTTTTTCCATTTGAAGCTTGCTGTCTCTTCCACCCGAACCGTGTGGCACTAACTACTGCAGTCCCCGCTGCTCAGTCGCCCTCTCCTATAGGTTATTATCAGGTCAGTGAATTAGGCTGGATACAGTTCCAGAGTTTAACTCACTTCATAAAAACATGTTTGATGTCTGAAAACTTTTATTTGAACCATTCCAGGCAGGAAGTCCTGTGACCGTGTTTGGGTTCAACCGCAACTTACACGGTACAGAAAACCAGGAGGGGGAAAAAAGCGACATTGACTTGGATCAAGTTTTCCAGATTGCAGATGAGGTGATGCAAACGTCCTCCAGCGTCTGTCTGGTGAAAGTCCAGACTAGAGAGGAACCCGTCTCTGTGCCAGAGCCTTCCTTTGAGCATGCTGATGCCATATCGTGTGACAACGATAGGAGCGCTGCTGCGGTTACAAATAAAAAGGAGGAGAAGCTTGTGGTTTCACAACCTGAGCAAAAGGCTGAAGATGCTAAACACGAGGTAGGCTTCACTTCCAAACACGTTCCCAGTTCGACCAACCTATTTTCTACCCTCAATTTAATAATGAAAAAAAAACACCTGGAAATGTAGTATCTTGTTTTTTAAAGACCAGCATCTTTATTAGTAATGTATCTTTTTCCTATTTGCATGTACGGGACATGGATTGGATGATAATAATTATAAACACCACAGCATAAAAAAAAAAAATAAAAAATATATATAAATATTATTTTTTAATTAATATAAACAAGCTTATTTATGCTTTCATAGAAGTAATAAAGCTAATCCAATATTGTATGCATAAAAATGGTATTATAATGTGCAATGAGTTAGTAGAAGGTATAGTGGAGGATTTTCACAATTCTTTTTTAAAAGACCCACCCTCTCCACTTTGCAAAAAAGAAAAAATGCACATGCACAACCTGTACCTGCTCCAGAGAGGGAACCCCTAATAAATGTGTGCGAGAGCGTGCACAGGTCCATTTCTCCTCGTGCACGCTCTGTTTAAAAGTTGCTGTTTGCATCGCTCATACAAGCTTACTTTCCAAAAGAAGATTTACAATTTTTCTATGTCAGACTCACCACCAGTAGGTGAAGATGGGGACGAGCACGTGGGACAGCCTTACAAAAAACATATCACCAGAGTGATTGACAATTGGGAAGACCACTTATTTTGATGATGCACCCGGAAAAAGAACATCCTCCACTAAACCTTTAAGTTAGTTGTCCAATAAGTTATTAGTTGTTAGAAGTTAGGTCTTATGCTGTGATCACAAGGATCTCTGGCTGCTCGGGGCTCTGCTTGTTTATCTGCTTTTATCTTTAGCTTCAAGCTAGAGATCAGCTTGGCTCTATTTACTTTGAAAAGTTGGAAAATAGAGTTTTAACACGTTTTGAAGCAAGAAAGTCCACTTCCAAACATCCTCTGTGTGTCAGTTCATTCAGGATTATAATCCAACAGTTCGTGTTCAGAGAGCCACATGGGAGGCAGCACTGGAAATCCCCACTGGGAGCTCTCTGCAGCTGGGCCAGCCTGTGGGGGATTTCCTGCTGCCGTTTGTAGCAGCTGGAATTAAATATAAAAAGTGTTTTAAGGTTTGAAGTAAAAACTGCAAGAACCAGAACATACAATTAAGAATTTTCCATTGGCGGGTTTTTAGTTAAACTGGGTATTTATAAAGTGTTTCGCCATAGTTCATAAAAACTATTTTATTGAAGCAATAATGACCAGAGCTCGTTTTACAAGACAATAAATTCTTCCGGTGTTCTGTTAGTTCAGCATACCCCGTCAGACCAGCATACCCATAGTACATACGCATGCACAAGACATCAGATTTGCGTTTATCCCTTTAGTTTTGTACGAAAAATAGACTTTAAACTACCTTAACCGGCGTGTATCCCTTCGGTCATCTAGAAAAAAAATAAATTTAAGGTGAGATGTCCATACGCTTCAGAAAACACAGAAAAGTAAGTAATTAAATGTTTTTTTTCTACATGACTAAAGGTATATACGCCCGTTGATGTAGTTTAAAGTTTAATTTTTGAACTAAAGGGATAAACTAAAGAGATAAACGGGTAGTGACTATGGCTATGCTGGTCAGACCAGGTATGCTTATCTGACAGAACACCGGCTTTTCTTTTTTTTTTTTACCTTTAACAGCCCTACTGTACCGGGTGACTGTCCTTTAGTGTGATATGATATGAAGTATTTTCCAACCTGAAATATCCCCAAGCAGTGTCTCATAAGCGAGAGAACAGACTAGGCTTCTTTCAACCAACTGACACAACAGTGTGCAGCAACAGATGGGGCAGATTAGCTGTTATTTTATCCTCCTTTTAGATATTGTAAACTCTGTTTTACTGGTCTACTCTCTAAAGATTTCTTTGGGATCTTATTAAAGTCGTAGGGAAACGGCTGTTCCAAGCGTTGCATTTCCGAATTTCCCCGAGTGGTGCCCGACTTTACACAAGTGAATAAAATGAAAGTGATTGGTCGTTTGCAAGCACGTTTGGTTGTGGCTGATGTCTCGGAAGCAGCGACCAAGTGGCACTTAATTGGTGACTTAGCAACGACACTATCAAGGAACGCTATGGACAGTGGAAACATGCAAGAGGAGGACAGTTTTGTGTCAGAGGTCGTGAATGAGTCTCCGTCATACATGTTTTATTTAGAGGAGGAAAGCGGGACGAAGATGTTGTGGAAGAGGACGCCAGGGCAGCAGAGGCTCGGTTTGATGTAGAAGGCTTACAGCCGTACATGTTTGAGCCCTTGCCTCGCAATGCTGCCAGTTCTGTTAGCTCTACGCCTGCTGAAGACACAGACGTCCATCCCCGTGAACACTGGGACGGAACTCAATGGGAAAGTAAACAATTCTTATTTCAACCGTTGCGTATATTAGCTGCGACATATGAATCAAGATGCTATGACCGAAAAAATTTGATTTACAGATGACCGTTGATATATGATTGGCCGAATTTAGGTGTTCAGGCTGACGTATGACTAACTGGCCTCCACAAGATAACGAAAAATATATACACTGATTTTAAGAGAGGATTTTTTTTTAAATCTTGGGACTATATCTGATAAAGAGTACATTTATATACATGTTTAAGCCAGAATTATTTGACATTTAAATATGACTTTCCTATGACTTTAAGAACTTTAAATGGTGGGAACGATGGATTTTTATTTATTTATTTTTTTGCAAATTTGAGATTTAAGCAGTTTCAACCTCTGTTTACCTTCGTACCAGTCAATTGAACAAACGTTGTGGAAATACATGAAATATTTGAATAAAACCTGTTTGTTTCTGTGTTTTTCTGCTATCTTCCTGTGTGTCTTGGCAAGGCTCGCTCTGATCCAGAGCTCAGTGTGGAGGCTAACAACTCAGCTGAAGATTCCAGTCAGGGTTAGGATGAGCAGACCACATCTGGTTTTTAGGTAAGGTAGAACCCTACAGAAGCACAATGAGGAAGATTCATTGAAAGAGTGACGTGTTTATTTAGTGTCAGTGACAGGTGGTTACATCTTTCATTTAGATCTCAACTGACTGATTCTTTGAGCATGAAACGAGACGCCCTGGCTCAGTCTGCAACCAGACTTCAGTATCCACTTTGTTCATTTCCTCTGCCAGTAAAAACTGTTCTATTGTTTTGACACAAGCCTTTTCTCATTATTTTTTTGTTGTTGCTCAGTTGTTGTCCTTACAGTACTGAAAAAAACTGTAATGTATTTGCCTTAAACTCATAAATTTTTTTGTTGAATGCTGTACATGCTTTTAAAAACAGTGACAGCTCTTTTGCAGAATGGGATTTCGAAGAGAAATAAAATTCAGGAACCTTTTTCGGTTTGTAAAAGAAAATCTGTTAAAGTTGAATATTTCCAGCTATAAATTGCTCGCTTTTGAAGCAGCAGTTACTGGTATGTCTGATATACATTTCAAGACATAAATGTAATTCAAAAATATAATAAAAAAACAAAATGTACTTTGCAGCTGACTGGTTTATTTATGAGAGGCTTGTTGTTGAAGAAATGTTACTTTAAAGACAGTAGGGGGAGCTATTCACCTGCTGTTGATGAGCAGGGCTCGTGGCGCAGCTCCACCCTCAGTTCTCTACAGGATGCTTTCATGTCCAACTCGGAAACTAGATGCCTAAAAAGCTGTTATTTATCTTTTTTTATTTAAATAGGTGCTGGATTCAACTAAATTTGTATAAATGTTATGTTTAATAATTATTTTTCCTTTAAATTGAAAATCAACAGAAGATTTGTTTTTTTTCTTAGTTACAATAATGACGTATTACACATAACTCGCAATCTATTAAAATCCCTTAAGATGCGGAGTTTAATTATGTTTTTCTGTTTATCGTAGCTGATTGTTTTCCTTTATCTTGTTAATTTTGACGGAAACTTGTTTTTACGTGTTCACGTGAAGGCGTCAGCTCAGCCAGCAGGTAGAGTGACGGTGAGATCCCAGGGGAGCGACGCAGAGTCCGGGAGACAAACTTTGGGACGGTGCTATAACCCAACTGTGTGTCGGCGCCCCGACACCGTTCATTGAGGAGTCCGTGGAGGTTGGACTACTATTCTTTTTTTTTTTTTTTTTTTTTTTTCTTTCTGGGGGGGTGTTTTTTCATTCCCGTGTTCTTGTTGGTAATCTTGATGAGCGATTCATTCCCCCATCGGTGCTCTCAGGAGGGTCGGCTCCAGCTCCCCAATGTGCTGCGGAGGATCTGAAGTCATGGAGGGGGGGGGGCTCTGAACACACCGACCTGCTGTAATTAAGAACCGACCGCTTTATGATCGCTTTAGTTACAAAGTTATAAGCTCAACAGGAAAACTCTCCCTTTGTTCCGCTCAATCATTTGATTTTAACGACCGAACTGCTTATTCGAGGATTATTACTATCTTTTTCTTCTTCTTCTAGCAATTCCTGGGCTGTAAAGCTTATTGCACAACTTTTCTCGGCTCGGCGTCTTATCCGCGAGCATGACTCCAAACTCTGCGGCGGCAACCTGTGTCCTAGCCTTTGAAGTTCAAGCCGTGACTCACCAGCGTTTTTGGTGGATTTATCCAGAAAACGAGGCGCCCACGAGCCGGGCTCGCTTTCTCTGACACTTTCTACCCAGCACTATGACTGGATTTCACGTCTTCTAAGAGCCTAAGTTGAACCCAGCATGAGAGAGGATCCGATCCATCGGCGAGAGGAAAACAAGCTGGTCGCTGTGATGCAGAAATCAGGCTTCAGGTTCCTTCATGCTGCTGTGGAGTTCCCCCTCCGATCATCAACACTGGATGCAGGTTCATTTAGATTCTCCTCAATAAGTGTTTGAATTCTAACCCAGATGTTGAGTTCTGGTGGAAGACCTTCATCGTTAACAGCTTGGATTATAGCTCCTTTCTTCTGCAGGTAGATTACTAAACTAGAAAGAGAAGAAGTGGGACCTGTTCCAGTAGGCTAGGTTGATATTTCTCACCCAAGTCCACCATGTGCGGCCGGGCCCCGCCGCTCCAACCGAGGCCATGACCGTCCCTCTGCGGCCCCTGGCCGGGCTCTGGCCGTGGCTTCTCATGGCGGCCCTGCAGGTGGTGTTGGGCCAGCCGAGCCTGGAGTCCGAGCGCTCGGGCCTCCGAGCGGTCATCAAGGTGACCCTGGTGAAGGAGCCCAAGGGAGAGCCCATCGTTCTGAAAGGGGAGTTCGTGGGAGGAAGTGCAGGAAAGGCGCAAGGAAAACTCATGCAGGTAAGAGCTGAGCTACACTGGATTAAATCTAACCTTTCCCTCTGATTTCTACAGTCAGATCTTATTTTTACCTGTTTGAAAGACTGTAAATAGGTCTGGACCCATTTAGAGCAATGATCCGGATCAGGATCATTGCTCAGTTTATTAAAAATAGAAAAATAATCAAGAGCTAATGCACATATAACACGTTTATTACAGGTGAATACCCTGATTCCACCATACATGCCACTTACTGCACTACCTCATTCCTACACACACTCCCATCTGTTTCTAGCAGTTTACACATCATCAACTGTCTGATAATGATTTTCACACCTCTGTCGGTTTTATAGCTGCAGCACCTGTGAGAAGTTAACACCCAGTTGTGATCAGCATGAATGGAATATTTGCTTTGGGTTTTTAATCTTCCATTTTGACCGTTTTGGAAATAGAGTGGAGTGATGATATAACAAAGTGGATTTTAGAAACAGATTTTCATGGAAGATAGAGTTCAAGGTTCTGCCTCCTGGCTGTTATATAATCACCTGTGTGGGGATACATTTCGCTTTGCAAATTTTTTTTAAGACATCAACAAGTTCCTGGCCTGATTAGTGATGGATATATGATCACTGCTATCACCAGAAAATCAGGCCCTTATTTCATTTAAATGATCTCATTCCATTTTAATGTCTGAGGTCAGCTTACAGTTAACCCGCTTTATCTTTCCCACCATCTTTTGTTGCAAGATATTTCTTGGGATGTTCAAAAACAACCCAGGATCTAGTAGGTGCTGAAACACCTCCTGTTTAAAGACTGATTAAAGGCCAGAATGAACAAGTTTCTTTGGATTGCAGAGGTACAAAATTTACAGTTTAACAGCTTCCTTCTCATCACAGCTTGATGGATGATCCACTGAAAAAATCGAAATATACGAGTCATTTTTTCTTAGAATAAGTGCATCTGTTTTTGGATTCAAGAGGTAAAACAGACATTTAGCCAATGGAACAAGACAATTTAGACTTAAAAAAAAGAAAACACAATTGCATTATCTTATTTCAAGTGCATATTATTTAATTATCTTATGTTAAGAGTAAAAATAATAATTCCATTGACTATTTCATTTACCGACTCAAATTAAGGGTAAATGCACTTAATTTAAGACATTTTTCCTTATTTCTAGATCGTTTTAATGTTAAGCATTTTATTACATGTTTGTTTTGATAAAACATGTCAGCTGCAGTTGCCAACTGCTGTAGGTGTATCTTTTCCAAAGTTACTGCTTTGTTTCGCTATTTCTGGAATCTGGTTTTCATCCAATGCACTTAATGTCAAGGTGCGGCATGAAGCTTTTAAAGAAACGCTAAATCATGTTCAAGAAAGATGGAAGCCTTTAATTGGGACGCTCCGCTGAAGGAAAATGGCGTTAGTCCCTCAAATATGAGGTATGCTGCCTATTCAGTTTGCATATTTAGGAATCAAGAATGGATTAGGGTTCCCAAGCTGCAAGGCTTTCCTGTCTGAACTTATTTACCGTTTCCAGAGGAACAGTACGACAGAATGAGGTACTGTAAGATCTCATCCGTCGTCAGCCACCAGGTGTGGGGCTATTTGTGAAGGTTAAGCCAGATGCTTCAGTTTGCCGTTATTGATAGGGTTTTGCACGGCTTCGTCACGGAGAAAGCCCCGCATTAGGCACGGTGAAAAGCCTCTGCTGTTTGCCTTCCCAGCATAAAGCTCATCTGACATTGGTGCGTCTGTGTGAGAAGTTGAAAACATGTTACGGATGCACATCACAGCACTTCTCAGATCAAAGACTCCTCCAGCTCTTTGGGATTTCCAACTTTCTGTAGTTTTTTCCTTTTTTTTTTTCCTCTCCCCCCCACAAACCTTTCAGGGTTTTGGAGATTGATGGGGCTTCTTATTAAGGATAAATGCAGGTTATGCGGTTCATATTTCCATCCAGACTCATAATACATCCCCATCTTTATAATAATATTCTGATTTCTTCCACAGTCAGAATTGCTGCAGCCTGAATCCTTCTTCTTCCTTCCCTAACCATGCACTGTTGTTATTTCCTCATATCAGTCACTCCGATCGTAGATTGTGGTTCTTTTAAAACCATAAATGTAAACTTCACACATACAATCTCCCTCCAAGGCTGCACAGCATTGATCTTGTGCTGCAGGAGGCTCTTTGTTAACACAGACCTTTTCTATCAGGTCTTTTTTTTGCCTTTACCGGCGGCTTTATGCAGCCACTCTAGGTTCCTGTTATCCATTGGACGAGGAGAATGAAGGATTGAAAGTTTTATCCTTCTGCATTGAATCAATATGGATTTTATTTGCTTTTTGGATGAAGGATCATTTTAGGCAGGTATGTTTGCACTGAGGACTCGTAAAATAAACAGTTTTAAGTCCAATTTTGGACACAGTTCTTATAAATCTTTTGATCCACTGATACCAGTTTAAGCTGATTTGGACTTTTCTTTGCAAACTTCTGTTTAAGTTGACGTAAGAACATTCCTCACCAAGTTTTCATTATTTAAAAAGAATTCACATTGAGTTCAGCCAGTGTAATTATAATGTTTTATTATTTTAAGAATTATTATTTTTAAACAAAAGCATTTTATAATTTGAAGCAAAAATAAATTATTTGTTTGTTTTTTTTCTGATAAATCTGCTGCAGATTATTGGTAGCATGGTTAATGCAGCTAGCATTACTGGACAGCCGTCTCTGTATGTATTTTGTAAAGACTGTAAGCCCTTATCATAGCTCTGCCATTTCAACTGCTAATATTCCATACTAGAGATCTAATTCTTAAAAGGATGAACCAAAGCTTTATTTCTTCCTATTATTTATGTCAAGACTTGCTCTCTCTTGCTTTTTTGCAGCCTCAGTGAACCATAGACATGTTAGAAGAGCTGTTTCCTTTTTACGCACCGCGGCCCATTGTCTTAAAGGTGCATAGACACATTATATGCCTATAAAAAGATAAAACAAACATATGATCATGATACACCGTGCGACCATGCCTATAGTGTTTAGTGTTCTTTTTGAGCCTTAATAGAATTGTAGCAGCGGCCATGATTAACCGACTGTGCGCCATCTGCTGGCAGTACTGCAGAACTATTAGAAAGCCAGATGACGACTACTTAAGGAACGACTAATTAAACAATTTAAATCTAAGCTCTAGTGAATCCTTCACAGAGCGTCCTACCAGAACATTAGTGGAAAAGAAAATAAGTTTCTACCAAACACAAAGAGAGGCACAGGATCAAGGTGAGAGCCAATCAATTAATCTATTTGTAATATCGTTCATGCTCAAACTGTAGAGACTAAGAACAGGACGTTTCCTCAAACGTCTGACAACCTGACAGCTTTATCTCCAACTTCAGTGAACATCAACATTCATTTTCTTACCCCTCTTGAATCAAATAATTATATATATATATTTTTTTTCCACCCTGGATCTTGGATTTTTCTGTATTGTTGCTACATTTCCTTGGAGATGCTAACTGATTTAGCAGCATAGGCTACTTCCTTTTTTACCTCCAGCACATGTGTTTTTTATTGGAATTACACACAAAGAGCTTTATTTACTAATGAACTAAGCCAAAAACAAAGCATGAAATGCAAAGATAACAGTCTTCCAGAAAACACCCAATGATCATTAGCTCCCGGTTTTATTCCTTCAGTCACAGCTTCCCTTTGAAGAGTGTTATAATGCTGGTTACTAGCTGCGTTTGTTTACCATCAATCTTTGCTTACCTGCAGTGTTGTTTCCTTTGAAATAAGAACATGTTTGCCAACATGAGGGGCGAGCAAACATGTTTCACCAGGGACAGAGGAAAGTTCACGGCTTTCTTCAGCCTGTCCAAGTCATGAGGCTTCACTTTGGGACGTAACTCCCTCTGATCTTTTAAACTGTGATCTCTCTGGATGGGCGCCCTGTTCACTGAATAGACACGTTCATTGGAACACTGGCTGGGTTCAGGCCAGCGCTGTTTGGACAAACACTAGTGCAGAGGAATTTTTGACTCTCTCTCTCTCTTTCTGTCTCCTTTCCAAAATGGAGCTCAGTGATGAGAGGAGAGGTCCCAGAACTTTGGAGATAACCCTCAGAGCTTTTCTTCAGGTCTCTGTGGAAAGATGGAGTTTATCCTCTTAAGGCACGAAGCCCAATTACAGGACATCATTAAAGCTCCACCTATCTCCACTTAAAACCATCTTGACTTTCTATCTCTGTCTTTTTGCTGCTGCATTTTTTTTTGGCTCTTTGTTCTTTACGGCGCGTTGACCTGTGAGAGCTCCCTCAGATTCATCAGCTATAATTAAGGATGGCCACCAGTTAACTCTGCGCCACTTCACATTCCTCAACCCCCACTTCCCAGTTTCCCAAAAGGTACTGAATGCCTCCTCTCCACCTCCCCGAGTCCCCCCACCGGCCCTCGGTGCAGTCGTTTGGGAGGGCGGAGTGGGCGCTATGGGACAACATCAAAGTACGGCCAGTTCCGAACGTGAGCTGGGATGATTAAAAGCTGAGACTGTTTACACTGGGCTTCCCATTCGGGCCCTCTCTTCCCCCTCCCTCTGGATTTCCTGTCCATACTTCCTATCTCTGTGGACGAGATAACGGCTCGTCCAGGGCTCCTTAGGGCTCCTTGCTACTTAACATTGCAGAGAACGCCTCGATGTATTGTTCTCCTCATACTGAAAATTGCAGAAAAAAAAGCAACAAATCAGCAACTATTTAGATAAAAAAAGGGTTTCAAAGTGAAATTAAACTGTATTGCTAAACTGTATATATGCCTAATGATTGTATAAACATCTAATTCAATTTAGCAAGTAATTTCCAAGACATAAACAAGACTCTAGCGGACGCAAACCTTTCTGCTAAATTTGCATCATATTTTCTCTGCTGATGAGCTAGAGTCAGCAGGGCTCCTTTTTGGCCTAGTTTTAAAGACAAAAGCAAGAAAAATGGTTTAAAGTCAAAATGTCTAGCTTCTTAAAGCACTACT